GAATGCCTGTGATGGATCCAAACCTGGGCCTCAGGTCACTTCCACATGGGGTTGGATGAAACACCTCAGGGGAAGTGTAACAGGGTAGAAAAGTAGAAAAATATTTATATTTCCACAGTAAATCATGTCTTTTGTCAGGCTTTGCTCTAAGGTTTTCCTTTTTTATGTGAATTAACTGATACAATCCAAAAATGATTTAAATAAATCTGTTTATGTGTGCCAAACAAAAGAGACCCACTCCTAAAAACAGGAGCATTACTAAAACTCCACAAGGTAGCCTAAGAGGACAGTTTAAAAAAAAGGAAAGAAAACAGGTAGAGTTACCTTCCCAAGATTTAAAGGTTCATGGGGGTCACTGAAAGCCGTGAACTCTCTGGGGCTGCCGTACAGGTTGACAAAACATGGCCCAAACGTAGGCAGGAAACCAAGAGTGTCATCAACTGCAGTAACACAAAATGGACAAAGTATTGCTATAAAAACAAGGCAGAATGTTGAAACAATTGTGAAAATGAGTAAAAGATTGATTAAAGAAGATGAAATTATCAGAAGAAACAAAACAAGATCATTGTAAATGTCTGCAGAATTAAATCATCATTGAAACTGACATGAGTTGAAAGGAGGAGAGTTTAAAGATCACAAAACTGAAACAGTTGATTCACAACTGGACTGTTTCACACAAAATAAAAGAGGTGTAGAGGAGGAAGAACATACTGCCGGAGTGGTTGGTCCGTGGAGTCAAGTCATCTGAATGCGTAGAGAGGAAGGATGGTTAACAGGTAGTCAGTGTCAGAAAAAAAGGAAACAGACAGTCTTTGAACGCCACTCAAACCCAAACATACGCACTTGACGACAAACTCGAACACTACACATATCCCCTTAAAATTCAATGCAAGACAAATGAGCTTGTTTCAACTAAATGATCTTGTCCCAAATTACTCTACTGTGAAGAAGCTGATTCTTCCTTTAATTTCAGGCCTAAAGTTCTGTTTTAAAAGTTCATTCTGACTGGCTTTATGAACCACATAGAGTGTGGCTGCATTAACCTGCCAGATGATGTTGAGTCACCATGGTGTGCATGATGTTTTCCCAAACAAAGACAGCAGACAAATGGAACTCATCACATTGACCAAGCTCAAACTTGCCAGGTTAGTCTTCATGCATGTCATCGGACAAACGAACATGCTGTTATGTTCACAAAAGACAGATCCATCTGGTGATTGAGGAGTAAAGAGTTAGATCACAAACTGAGGGAACTGACTAAAACTCCACACACACACACACACGTCAACAGGTTGGGTTGTGCTGACACAGCTGTTAAATCAACTTCACTACAATGATTGTTTCTAAAACAACAACAATATATCTGCAACAAAAGTTTAAAATCTCATCTCATTTATCAAGAGGATACAAACAACTGAATATCAGTTCTTCCTACAGTATGACTTGAAGCCTACAATAAGACCAAATTCAATCAAGAAGACTAAACCAAAGCTAACACAAGCAAACAAGTCTAGTTTATTTCTGCCTTAAACCATAACTTTCAACACTGGCCTTTTCAACAGAGACCTGACTATTTCAGACCAATTCAGATTATTGAGCAGGTGGTTACATTTGCAAACTCAGATGCACACAAAACAACTAAAAGCAAAGTGGGTTTTTTTGGTGACCTGGGTGTTTTCCATTTGTGATGAGAATAAAACATGGGTCAGTCTTATACTGATGAGACACATGTAAAATAATCATGTTGCAGTATGCATGGTCACCAAAATATCCAATTAATAAATGATTATTCCAGGTCAAACTACATTTCTGCTACCCCGATGGGTCCTGACACTTTTCCAGTATCTGGTTGTGACATATTTTATCAGTTCCTTCCACTGCCTGTGCCAGTTATCTACATCCATCTCCATCATGTGTTAAAAGCAGACTGGAGAAGAGTGTCACATTTAGCCTGATGAGCTAAGGGTACAAATCTTAAATTTGGTTGTACTAGTTGGGTTCAGACAGGTCTACCATACAGGGCTCAGTTAGGTTCAGATTTCACTTTTAGACCCATGCAGGACTCTAGCTCAAGCAGCCAAGAACAGAAAGGTTTCAATTAGTGAATGGAACTGAGTCTTACCCCAAGTGTGATGCTGCAACATAGTGCTGGTTTGGTATTATTTCACCTAAAAAGTCATCTAAAATCTCTTTTTTAAATTATAGAACTGGGCCATGTTGTACAGCAGTTTTATAGCATTTTGCTCCACACATCAGAGAAAAGCTACCAATCTGATTGTTGTTTGAATGGAGCATCATCTTTCTGCTCTTGTCCAACACTTCATTTAGCTTGACAACCTCCGATATTGAAAACAACAGCTGACAACCTCAAGGTCCACATGCTGCTCAGCTCAACGAGTCCCAGAAGTGCTCAAATGACAGCTCCATCACATCTGTGCAAACTTCATCAGCTGATTAACTCTGTACGGTATCAGTCAGAAGCTCCACGTCAAATGGACCATGAGCTGGGACTGTTTTGTCAGCCACTCTTTATGGCACAGCAGTGTGAAGTGCTGTGATGTGTCATATTGGGGGGGCTTTAGGCCCAACCAAACACACTATATATATAATCCACTCCCATGCAACCAAATACAGCCCATTCCAGCCCAGAGTGTACTGGGTGGGTCTAGTCCAGTTCAGACCAGTTTTGACTAGCTACTCACCATCTATCTCTCCACCAGGGGCAGAGATCTTTGAGATACACAGGTGGGTGGTGCCAATGACATCGTTGTGACTGGCTCTGTCCCTGGAATGGAAAAATTCAAGGGAAAAAAAGCTCAAACACATTTTAAGCTCAAATGGTAACCAAAATTTTAATGTTGATACTGTAAACCGGAGGTTTTTAAACTGTAAGTCAGGCCTTTGCAGGGGGCCAGAGGTGAGCTGCAGAGTAGTGAGGCTAAGAAAATACTGCTGAGGTGAAAGGCAGTTAAGGTACTTTAAAATCTTTAATGCCCACTGGATACAAACTGCATCAAAATATGCACCCCTTCACTCCTGCACCCCAGTCATCAGTCAAATCTGAACACAGAGACATACAATGCATACTTTTTAGATTCAATGTCACTTACACTTACAGGTGATATTAATTCTTATGTAGATCACAAATAAACTTTTCTTCAGTGTCAAAGTAATCAAGTTATAGTTGTCTGTACATCTCTACATTCCTGTAAACAGGAACTGTTAGTAGTGAATTCAGCATAATTCTGCTGGTGCCAATTTGCCATAATGTAAATATACAGAGACTAAAAAACAGGGATCAAATTGTAGCCCGCAGGATAACACATATGTCCTGACCTTGTTTGAGGTGGGCCTGCAGTATCGTACCCTCTTCCAGATAAAATACCTACTACGATGCAAAATTCTTTATATTCTGGAGGGTTTGATAAAACTAAAATCTAAAATAAAGTTATATATCTGAGTTCAGCTGGGATTCACCAGTCAAGAATTCTGATCCTCATCTTCTCACACATGGAGGGAAACTGGAAAGGAAACAAGAAAACAAAAACCATGTAATGACAATGATGAGCATACTATGCTAGTAGCACAATAAAGTTGAATAATAATGTGTGTTTGTGTGTCTGACCCTAATAGGCATGGTCAAACTCTGGTTCCACTGGGGATTGGCATTTTTCTCCAGAATCTTAGTGCAGATCTGAAAATTAGCAACAAGTGGATTTCGCTTTAATATGATTTGTTTTTGCATTTTATGTTTGGTTTAAAAGTAAAATAACTCTGATGGAAGTTGTATCAGTTCATATGCACCGTCTTCCCAGCAAAGTGGATCTCCACCAGAGGATCCACCAGGTTCTTTCTGTTGCTATCAAACCCAAAGATCTGCCTCATCCCGTCTATGAAAGCATCGTCCACTGCAGACAGGAAAGAGAACGATATCACAAATCTCCAAATGTCTGTTTTCAAAGGAGATTACTACATAACACACGTGGATACACAGCCACTAGACACTCACTCTGTGGAAGGTCTTCAGCTCTGAAGAGCTTCAGGGTGAAAGTTGCTCCTCTCAGAGACAGACCAGCTGGCCTCAGCAAGTTTCCTTCTATATCTTCTTTATCCTCCACACACTCTCGTTTATCAGCCTGGAAGACAAACACACGTAAATAACATGGATTATTTATAGTACTTAAATACAAGACCATAGACTGTTTATAAAAACGAACAACGCACCACCACTTTGCGCAAAAGTGAAGCCAAAATATTGCGACTATGGTGGCGGCCATCTTTATTTTGTGATGCATTTTGCAATTAGATTCTGATTATTAGTGTTTTTCATTTACTTCTTATATCCAGCACCTCAACAATGAAAATAAGCCAGTCCCATGTCTGACTGGCATGTACAACTTGCAAAACTTTTTTCTAGCTTCAGTTGTCTCCCCCCATGGGACTTTGGCCCTAAATGCTAATATGAGAATGCTAGCAGGCTGACAATATTATGTTATCAGTAAAATTAAAAACTACATCATGTTAATATGCCAATGTGTAGCATGTAAAGTGGTTATACCTTTTGGTTTAAATATAATAATCAAGACAACATGCCACCACTGCTAAAACTGTATCTTTTACCAGCCTCAGCTGTACTTAGTCTGAATTTAGTCTCAACCTGAACTGAATGTCAGTCGATCTGACTGACTCACCGGTGGCTCATCTCCAGCCGCCAAGACGAACAGGCTGACTTTCAAATAACCTTTGACTCCAGCAGAAAGGTCATCGGGGTCACCCAGCAGCAGCCATTTTCTCAAGAAGCAGTGTCCTAAAGAGAGGAAGGTAGACTCAAGCTCAGATTTAAATCTATGAACTAAGTGCTTCCAACTAATCATTGTGGAACTAAGACCTTCAAATTAAAAACAAGACAGAATAAACTCCTCCTTGGTGACAGTTTTTCATTCAAATAAACTGTACAAATTAGTGAAAACCAAAAATATACTCACTGTGCTCATTGTAGACAGTGCCCACATCCAACTGTGAAAAAAAAAAAATATATATATATTTCTATTAACTTTTCATGTCAGCTTTTTTCTGCATGAATGTAGCACAAATCATCATTGACTTAAGTAGAGTAATCTACAGCAAAAAGTAATATATACTATTAAGTCCAACATTACTGTAAAGAGCACCTCTTGACTGGAACAGCCATGTGCACTGAAAGTTACAAAGGTGGCAGCATACCTTGAATTCACCAATCACAGCATCAGTTCTAAGTGAGCGAGAGTCACACACCTGTCACATGGAAAGAGAGAACAATTTTACATGTTATCCACAGCAAATGACAGCAAGCACAATTTTCAATTTTAGAAAATATTGTAGGGTAACACTAAGGAATGGCAATGATGGAATAGTCCTCCATGTCCCTGTTGTTTAATCTGACTTCATAAATATGAATACAAAGTCACTCTGAAAGAATAAAAAGGAGACTAAAAATTCAGACTCACAGTGATGAAGATTGGTTCATCAAACAAATCTGATGGCATCTCAAAGAGGTTCATGAAGAATGTCTGTCACAGGAGATAAACCCAAATTGCAATTTGATATGAGAGCATATTTAAAGTTTTAATTTGAGACTCACACATTTTATATACTGACACTTTTTGACTGTGTACTGACAAATTTGGCATGAGCACACTAACTCTGACAAACACAGCCCAAGTCATAATTTAAGCACGATTTTTAGAATCCACCACAGTGTGAAACAAGAACATTATAAAGAAAATGATACACAAATTAATCCGCCACAGTGTGAAACAAGAACATTATAAAGAAAATGATACACAAATTTACCTCGTCAAAAACTGGGTTGTTGCCTTTTCTGATACGGGTCCTCTTGGTCTGCCCGGCTAGTGTTACCTTGACAACAGGTTTGATGTTAATGCCCGGCAACTGTCGCCCCTCGATGATCCGAACACGAACCTGGAACAAATGACATTCAGCAAATAAAGCCTTTTATGCATATATATTCTATAACCTACAATTCTCTTCAAGTACAGTAATACTGCTTAGGATACGTCTGGTGAACTGATTGAGAAGTGCATACCATATGAACTGTCTATGTCTTTGTAAACAACTGTGCTAACAGATGAATATTAACCCAACACTTGATAACACAACAGTGTATGTACACCCTTGCCTGCCACCAACAATGAGCACCAATCAATTCACCATCAGATTATTTTTTAGGAAATTCCTAAAAATGAATATCTGATAGAATTTCTACAGAAATGAATCTATGTGCACCTGTATAGTACCTACCTGAAAGTCCTGTGGTTTGTTGGGCAGCGTTTTAGGTTGACTGCTGGCTCCTTTTCTCCTCTTCCTCAGTCCTCCATGGATGTTGTAGGAGGGTGGTGAGCGTTTGGGTGTCTGGGCAGTGGGGGACTCCTGACCCGGGGGTCCCTGAGGACCAACGATGGAGCGTCCATCGTCCGGCCCCTGATCCTCGGCGGGCTCTACCATCATCATACTCTCTGTATCATCCTCGCCCAGCGTGTCCAGAGAAATCACTGAATAGACAGAAGAATTAACACAAAATATGCAACAGGTCAATACCACTGAGAGGGTAATAAAATCTAAGTTTGATATTTATGTTAAAATTGTGTGGATTGTTATTGGCTTTTGTGACACTGTGGCTGGAGTCAAAAAAAGGACAGATTATATTACCTGTGACAGTGTCGAGCTCCACGGTGGGGTTGGTATGGGGCAGGGGCTCAGGCTGGGGATGAGGATGGGAGATTGGAGCCATTCCTGGAGGAGGGAGGTAGGAAACCTGCAGGGTCAGCGTGGCCTAGAGGAAGAAAAAATTGTAAATGAACGGCACCATTTTTGATCCACATAACACCATCAAAATCCACACCTGCATTTTTAAATGAGCAGGACAAACAGAAATGAATAGCACATATAAATTTGTCTTATTCAATCATTACATCAATTTTTGCATCCTAAATTGTATTTTCACAAAACAATGATCCAATGTTTGTAGTGATATGGTGGGTTTCTTATCTGATTTGTGGGTATAAGGACAGAGGGTGCCGCATTCTGTATGGATTGTAAAGGCTCTTGAGGCAAATTTGTGATATTGGGCTATAAAAATACAATTTAACTTGACCTCCTGCAACAATTTGAGGTAGAGTTTTTTTATTCACGGTAGTGAAACACTAGAACAACCTGCACTGGAATCAAGTCAAATAACACCACTATGGGGCCATTTTCTAAGAACAGTGCATGTTGAAACATCAGTGTGAGACAGCACGGCTTGAAGTAGATACTGCTGTCGCAATAAAAGTGCACTAACTAGAAAGAAAGAGAGAGAAAGAGAGAGAGGTGTGTGGTGTTACTCTGCTCTGATTCAGGAATGTCTCTTTCTATTTTAAGATCCAGACAGGAAACATGTAGAATGATTTATGATTTGTCATTGTTCCGTGATACAATGAGACAGTATATTAATCTGTCTGTGCTTTGTGTGTGTATGTGTGCTCACCCCCGTGTTGTTTCTCTTGGTGTCCAGCAAGGATACAGTGAAGGAGGCGGCCAAGCTGGGAGAGTTGAGCACATCTCGTAGACCCAGTCGGCATTCTCCCAGGAACCTACAGACATGGACCAGGCCAGTAGCATGGAAATCAACACAGTGACAAACCAGCACTGCCACGTCATGAGTTTAACTTTTTATGTTTCTTTTTTTTTTTTTTTTTTCATCAGTTCAAACTTATGTTGAGAAGCATAAACATAAATGTTGCCCTCTCTACTTTTTTGTCCAACCGTTAAAATTATTTAATTATTAAAGGCCTATTTAAACAGCAGCAAATTGTCACATTTGAGAAGTCAGAATCATAAAATGTGTTTCATGAAAAATGATTAAACTATTATCCAAATAATTATTTTTTATTTCATCAAATTTGTAATGTAACTAGCAAACACTGCTGTCAGTTGAATGTGGTGTAGTAAACAGTGATACCACCATAAAAATAATCAAACTGCAAACAATAATAATGAATTCATGCTTAGTCTTAGCAAAGTGGGGTCACGCACTGGTCTCAATGCACCAAAAGAGGTCGGTGAATTAATCAATTAATCAACAAAACAGTCAGTGAATAGATGGAAATATAAGTGATTAAACACACAACAACCACAATGGAAGGACGATCTGGTTCTTTCAAGCCTGACCTTCTCCCCTCTGAAAAAACCCTGACATGTAGGGCATCTTGATGGAGCAGGACAATCCAAAAATAACAGTCTGAAGGGCTGTTTCCATAAAACAAAGAACCCAGGACTATGGCCCATTCGCCTGCCTGCAGTCCAATCCATCCACCAGGTCTCAGTCTGATAATGTCACAGTGCTTATCTCAATTCCTGTACTCTGAAGTATGGGAAGAGCCTATCTATATTCCTCCTCCTCCTTTGACTGGCTAGGTGAAAGTTCCCATGGATACAGGCCTACTATTATAGGATAGAACAAAGGGCCTACATAATAAAAACACATTAAAAAGTTGTTGAGATACTCCACTCTTGTCCAGCATTGTGGACTGACCATTAGCCCAACAAGCTCTAACAATAAACGAATGGCATCATTATATAAATGGGAGAACAAGGGTTAAATTGAGACACAATGTCTGATTCCATACAGAAAATATCAATAACAACAGGGATATCTGTCAAAAATTATTTTGTTGTGGAAAGTTGAAGTTATCTGCAAAACAGGTAATTTGTGTGTACCTGTTTCTGCCCATCTTCTCGTGGTCTTTGACGACACAGTGCAGTTCTGCTCCAGAATCCAGCGGTATCCCCTTGAGATCCCATTCAAAACCCTGACCGAGAGATGCCGTGAAAGACAGCATTACAATGGGTCTTAACGCACAACCTGAAAGTTATAATGTTGTTTCTCTACTCTAAACGGATGTGAGTTACTGTTACTATCAACAACCAAAAATCCCTGAATTTGTTGTCAGTGGGGTAAATATGTTTTAATTTAATGCCAAAAATGCACAATTTGTAGGTTTGGCCTTGTCTGGACAGTCTGGGTTGTTTGTTTGTTTGTTGCTTTCAGAACTGACTCTAGGAAAATGAGCTAACTTTTTGTATTTTATAGGCAGGTTGATACGATTAATGTGTATTCAGCCCACCAGAAGAAACGCTTGGATGTTCAGTGAGAAAAAAAAGATTTTAGAGGTGTCTGAAGTCCATTCACCCTCGTGTTCGCCAGATAAATAAGGCAGCAGCTTACCTGTAGTGGTCTAAGAGCAAACGCTGAATTTGCAGTGTAGGACGTACCTCATTCCAAACAGGGTTAGGGTTGTTCTTGATAACCTTGGTCTTCTTCTTGGACCCTAAAGCAAGATGTAGAAACCAGAATATTAGTTAACTCTCTTACAAAGCAATTCAATATTATTGGTCCAAAAATGTGAGTTTCTATTAACTTTCTTTAGTCTCAAGTTAAAAATGCTTAACCTTAGCAAACTATATGATCACTAACTAGCCAGGAGGTTAGTTTCTGTCACAGCTAACATCTCTTAAGACATCTTGTTTTCTTTAGCCTCCTGTCAAGCTAACTACAAAACCCATCATGTTAGTGAGTGGCAGTCACGATGCTAATGTAAAGATTAATCAATATTTAGGCAAATGTGGGGAATACAGGGTTTGTGCGGGATTCTTTTAAATGACACCAGTGAACACCAGTAGGGACTTTTATTAGCACTTCTCAGCTGAATACACCCTCTAACAATAATAGTAATAATTATGTGGTAAATTTAAACTACACCTGGATAGGAAGAAGAACTGGAAGGATGGAAGGATTAACTGGTTAAAACATGTTTTTAAGGTTTAGATAGGAGTCTTACATAACATCAGTGTTCTGCAATAAGATTACATGCTGCCTTACAACAGTCTAGACATAAAAAGGCATTAAAAGACTGACATCAATGTTTAATATGATTTTTCAAGATCTGCAGATACCCTGCAAACACATTATAGTTAAAGTAAAAATGAATTTTTTTAAATTCATCCTGAACAGACTGCCATGTTTTGTTTTGTTTTTTTGAGATGGTCGTGGTGTGAATGGACACAGTGGCCCCTCTCTCTTCGAGTTGTGTGCCTAAAAATGTGTGTTCCAGTGTGTTTGTTATGTTTATGTTCTGGTGCGCATAGTTCAACGTCTACATTGACCACATACAGCTCCTGAGATCTGTGCTGCATGAGGCAAGGGAGACATGACTAAATGACAACATCCCGGACTCCACTATTCAGCTAGCTGGGCTAACATGCTACCGAGCCGACCAAGTCCTTGTGGAGAGTCCTTCTTGTTATGTTACATATAACTCTGCTGTTGAATGTTTTTACCATCATATTTGCTGCTGTTGGTCATTTGCACCACTGTCCATGTGCAATCCGTGAACTGACAATAAAAATCTTTGATCTTGATCTTATGTTCATTATGTTCACACACAAACACACTGGTGTAAATATGTTGTTCTTCAGTAACAATACATTATTGCACACAACTACAATTGCACATGTGTGTGTGTTATCTTTTGGGGCTTCCTGTAACATGGAGTTTTGAGCTCTGATTTCCTGTCTGTCAGGCAATCTGATAAGAAGTCATTTTATCACACAACACAAACAGCAATGTGAATTACCACACTGGACAATTATCATCACTTACACTTAGCTTTAGTTACAAGGGGAACAGATGCAGAGATGTTTCTTTCCAGACGAAGGAAACAAACAAGGACTATTGTCTGATTGTATAAGCTACTTTTAACATTCCATTGTCCATGGAATGACCACTGGACAACACCTGGCATGGAAAAACTTAGAGTTTATAGCCAGCTCTCTTAAGCTGTAATTAGGCACAGCTAAATACTAACCTCAGCGTCCTACCATGTTCACAGTGACAACGCCTATATGCTGGTGTTGATCAGGTATAGCATGTTAGCATGTTAGCATTTGGAAAGAACAGCTAAACACGATGAGGCTGATGGGACTGTCGGTTTTTCCATACATTTACTCATACATGCATATTTAACAGAGACAAGTGTCTATATGAATGAGAGTCAAATGAGAAGAGCTGTGTCCAACTTGACAAAACAGGCTCCAGGACATTTTGGAGATGCATGGTTTTACCCAACAGTGACTAGATCCATAGGTAAAATAGATAGATAGATAGATAGATAGATAGATAGATAGATAGATAGATAGATAGATAGATATGCAATTTATTAGTCTGGACATTAAAGTGTGTTTTTTCTATTAAATAAGTTTAAGTTTAATTCACAATTACTTACACAAGATTTGTTGATTATTCCGCTTTTGGTTACACAACTGATAGCATTTCACTGCAGCTATTCATACTGCATATTCACATACATACACACACACACACACACACACACACACACACACTTTCTTTCTCTCTTTGCACACCGAGGAAGGGTTGTTTGCCTTCCTGTTTTCCCCAGTCATCACCCAATGTGAGAACTCCTTCAGTCACACCCACAAATTTAGCTGCACAAATGCACAAACACACAATGCATCATAACCTCTCAACCCCTCAGTGGAAGGGTGGAGGTGTTTTTAAGATATCTTCCGAGAACAGAGGTGTATTTACGTAGGTAACTGTGTGTGTGTGTGTGTGTGTGTGTTTGTGTGTGTGCCTTTGTATTACTTACATCATGAGGACCGAAACCTGTTAACACACTCACACTGTGTGGACTCGGCCACCCTTGTGGGGACCAGAAGCTAGTTCCCACAAGGAAATCACTGAATTTTAGGGTGACAACTTGGTTAGGATGAGGTTAGGTTAGGCGTTAGGAAAGTAGTGGTTATGGTTAATGTTAGAATAAGTCTACAGGAAATGAATGTAAGTCAATGTAAAGTCCCCACAAAGAATGAAAACACAGCGTGCGCGTGTGTGTGTGTGTGTGCATGTGCATGCATGCTTTTGTGTATCCACATGTTTAATTATATGTGTGTGGACCAATTTTTGATTCAGTACCATGGTTCTGAGGACAGTTTGCCATTGTGAAAACAGTTTGGCTGATATTAAATTTGGACTTGGTTTTAGGCTTCTGGTTAGAATTAGGTCGGGGTTAGTCATTTAGCTGTAATGGTTAAGAGCAGGGTAGGTGGCTAGGGAATGTATTATGTCAATGAGTGCCCTCCCAACTACAGAAAGACCAAAATGTGAGTGTATGTTTTGTGTGTGAATCTCCAAGGGCTGATATCTGAGCTAGCATCTCAGAGACAGGAAATGGCACAGCCTTCTCTTCATGGTTGGTTCAACTGGGGGCTCAGTTTCTGTCATAGGCCAAGAATAGAAGAGACTGTGAAATACATATGGGAAACCTATGTTTAGACCTAGGCTGTGTGTGTATGTGGGGTGCTGCATTTGTTGTCTGTCTGAGTTTAGGTACTAACAGTACTTCCCACTTTTAAAATGTAGTTTTATTTAATACTTAATTTTAGGATTAAAAGTAGAATTTGCATTAAGTAAGTAGTATAAATAGTAAGTAATACAAGCTTGTGTTTGATCACACCAGGAAATTTTGCTTGGACAAAGGCAGGAAGTTAAAGAGCATGGTTCACCTCATTAAGAAGGGATACAATCGTGGAACAACAACAACATCGTGATGGAAAAACAGACAGCTGCTTAGGTGAGGTAGCTAAGTCACCTTCACCTTGTGCCATCTGGCATCCCCCCAGTTAAATTAAACTAGTTGTTTACTTAGACGCAACGTCCAGCCAGCTATATACACACAGAAGACTTCAGTGTTGGATTCAAGTCATACTTATGTTAAACTGAAATCAAAATGAATATTTGCTAATAAATCAGTATATATAAGCCAGACCTATATTTTCTGCAGTGATAGCACCACCTACACCAGACTGGCAATGGCGATACAGTAATTTGATTTTGTGTGGTGTCTGTGGAAGTCAACCTGCTGGGGGACAAAGTTGTTAACTGTTTCTTTTGACTGTGATTTGAGCACTTTATAGGAAATAAATGAAAGGTAGGAGTCAGTGCTAACATTAGCGAGATGAGCTAAGTAGCTAGTTGGCCTATTCTGATGGTGTAATTCTTTTTTTTAGCAAAATACTAACTTACCCCAGTGGATCATTCTAAATTCTGAAAGATGTAAAGCCAGCAAATTCCTGCATAAAAATTTAAATGAATGGTACATAGCCAATGTTATAGAGCCTATTAAAAAGGACAAAAAACATCCTGTATCCTCAAACGTATAGGTTATAGAGGACTACGTCAGTTGTTGCCATGGGAAACACCCAGCCAGATGCCTGCACATTCTGAAGGTATTTTCACAGTTTTGTTTAAAAATGGTCTTATCCTCCTTTTAAAATAATTATGCACAGTAGCTGCAATTCATTTTTAATAGTTTTTATTTTGTTAATTCAATTTAAATTGCAACTTTAATTCAGAAAGTAATTAGAAACTTGATTTAGACATTAGTGCTACTAGACATGACTTAATTCAAAACCCTTTAAAGCAGCTATAAATGGTACTTTTATAATAATGCAATAAAAGATTGTGAAAACAACGTGAAAATGCAAACAAAGACACTCATAATAATAAATCTGCAGAGATCTACCACCTGATTCTGTAGTTCCCTTCACCTTTACAGAGCTATATAGCTCACTGCTGAGCTGCTAACCACATTTATGGCTTGGTTCACTTTCATTGCATCATTTTGGACCAGAGCAGGCAGCTGTTTTGAGCAAAAAAAAAAAAGCTCTAAAAATGTATTTTACACTACCAGCTCAGCACCAAACAGCAGACACAACAACTAGCTGGTGAACACAGTGGAGCTTAAAGATTGAACAGTACGAGAGCTGCAGGCAGGCAGACCTGTACTGTATCTAGACTTGCATTTTCCTTACGAACATATGTAACCTGACTTGGACATTCCCTTGAGCAGCTGAAATTTGACTTGAGAACTGCTTTGACAGACCCAGCTTGAATGACTTGAGACTTGACATGCTTTTGCCTCAAAAAACAGCTCTGCTCTCAGAATGCTTTGCTTAAATTTAATTTTCTACCATAGTCCCTAAATTCACTGCACTGTATTGCTTTCTATCATCTCACTACCAATCCAGTGAATCTCCCATGATCCTCTTACTGTACCTCTGAAGGTGACACTAGCCAGGGGGTGAGAGTGCCTCAGGTTGTTGGCTCGCTGAAGAATGCAACGTAACATGGCTGAAATCTCAGTAGTAGTAAGAAAAAGTGTAAAAGAGAAGCACTTCTCAGTGAAAAAAGAAAAATGTGCTGTGAAAAATATATATACTCAAATTCCTTGACTTTTTGAAGTATAAACAGCAACTTGTCTTTGTTAGCCAAAAAGGAAAAGTCCCAGTATCACTAAAACAAGGCTAAAAATGAATTATCCACACATTGTTTCCAACCTCATCTCACAGCATCTGTCTGTGTCCGAAACTACAAAATAAAAGCTCATTTTCTCAAGTGGCGATGTCTCTCAACAAAGCCAAATTCCTTCTCTTTCTGACTGTCTCTAACACACTACTAGGGAATGAAGGCAGTAGGCAAGCATGCCGGGAACTCACACACACCTCACATCCAGAGGAAATCTCAACATTTCCTGTGCTCTTTTCCTCTCTTGTCTCCTGGTTGCTTATATTTCCCACATCTTTGCCTCCCTATTTGCCAGTACACTCACTGCCTCACTCAACCTCTCACTACATTAACACATCTATTTTAAATGGTCTCTGTTTGCACATTTTACAAAAGTATAAACTGTCAGCCGTTAAAAACCATTGAAGCCAATAAACCATCAACTTATTAATCCCATTGTTGTAGAAAAAAACACACCTGACTGGTTTAAAACTGTATAAAACCTCCAATATTTTACATTACTAATAAATCAATGCCTTTTTAAAAAAAAGAAAATGACTGTAATGCCTATACTTTGGGTTCAAAACTACAGGAGAATATACTGATTAGCTTAAGGATGCAGAATGCTACTCTCATCAAACTCAAGCACTTTTCAGGAACTCATAGAGTCTTATGTGGTCAGAAGGAAAAGGAAGAGATGACCCTGATCAAAACAGTCATGTCAGCATAATGCATCAAACAAGATCACCTTCCATGTAGTTCTGCAAAATTTGATGTACAAATTTATTTGTCAGCTTAATGCCTCTGAAAATGAAATCATCCCAAGTCTGTCAAATATCAGACTTAGTACTACATGCTGCCAATCTAGGCTGTGGAGACACCGGTGCAGCTGCCTTGTTTTTTCCTCTTTTTTACATCATATTTTATTATTGGGGGCAGCAAGTGCATGTGTGTGTGTGGTTGTTTGTCTATGTGTTAGCCCTGCGATGGATTGGCGACCTGTCCAGGGTGTACCTCGATTGGCTCCGTGACCCCGCTCAGGGAACAAATGGTAGAAAATGAATGAATGAATTTTATTATTGCACTTCTGTATGGTACAGTATATATACTGTATATATCTTGTGTTATTTTTATGTGGACTTTGTGTCTGTAATAAACTTAGAATTGAATTGAAAGACAAATTAATTAATGCTGCTGTTTTCTACAGCCTGAAAGACTGAAAGTTTGAAAGTTACATTATAAACCTACTCTCAAAGCCAGTCATTTTTAATAAAATCTCAAGCCCTAAGCTGATTTTACTTGAGTTTGTGTGCATTCAAGGAGTGTTTAGGGATGTCATTGATCACCTCTTGGGTTCACACCCACTTGTTTTGAAAATTATCATTGCAAAAGCCTGACTCAGTATTCAGGAGATAATGGGGAGGGTGTAATAAGGTTACACTGAACACAGAGACATAAAGAACAGTACATACACAGAAACGGAGCACCACCTGCAGGACCAACCAATAAACACAAAATTAGATGTTTTCCAAGTGTAAAGTTGAGGTTTAAAACATGCTGGCATAATCTATTCAGTCCAAAAAGGATGTCTGTTTTAGGAGTAGGCTACATGCTAAATGTTTTTGGGAATAAGAAGGTAGCATTTTATGAGGACAATTCAACATATTTAACACAGACAAAGCAGACATGGCTAAGGTGTTAGCAGAAAGGCAGCATGCAGACACTGTGCAACATCTGCATTAATTTGGAGTTGTGTTTCTGACAATCTGATGAAATCCAGTTGAATATTCACTTTCTGTTTAGTTGTGTTTTAGTCTGCTGACTTCTGAGAAAAAAAATCTAGCTTTCTACCAGTTAAATCCTCCATGATGTTCATCAGTTAAGAGCACCACCTGCAGGACCAAAGAATAAACACAAAATCAGATGTTTTCCAAGTGTAAAGTTGAGGTTTAAAACATGCTGGCATAATCTATTCAGTCCAAAAAGGATGTCTGTTTTAGGAGTAGGCTACATGCTAAATGTTTTTGGGAATAAGAAGGTAGCATTTTATGAGGACAATTCAACATATTTAACACAGACAAAGCAGACATGGCTAAGGTGTTAGCAGAAAGGCAGCATGCAGACACTGTGCAACATCTGCATTAATTTGGAGTTGTGTTTCTGACAATCTGATGAAATCCAGTTGAATATTCACTTTCTGTTTAGTTGTGTTTTAGTCTGCTGACTTCTGAGAAAAAAAATCTAGCTTTCTACCAGTTAAATCCTCCATGATGTTCATCAGTTAGCCACTGACTTTGTCTAAACGCTGTTTGGTACTAAGCAGATATACAAAGAGGTTAGCAGAGCAACTCCTTTCTCATAATACACACAGATTCACTCTTGTTATAACAATACTGATAAAGCAGTTTTTATGTCTAAAGGTGATTCATGTTAGAGAGGCAGCGGAAACAGTCTCTGCATCCTCTCATTTAGAAGCAAACTCTGCTGCTTTTAAAGGACCTGTACATTTAACTAAATATCTCTGTTGGTGGAAAAGCATATGCCTGGTAGAAAGGAATACTGCAGCAGAAGCGAATATCTCTGTTGGTGGTAGAAAGGAATACTGCAGCAGAAGCATGATGAGGCAGTTTCAGGACTGGTGCAGAGGAAAGAGAGCAAACCGAACTTAGAAAAACACAGTCACAGTTGTTCATGTTTGCTGTTTTTATTTGAGAGATACACATCTTTTACTTTCTCACCAGCTTACAAGAGGAGAGAAATAATCTAATGATCTGATATTTTGGGCTAAAAGCAAGCTGTAGAATCTATATGTCTATTAGCATTTCTTCTTTAATGTCCTCAAATGCACTGAGCTCTGAACTGTAAAAATGATGCAGCAGTTTATAAGAGCAGACACAACCGAGACATCACTGGCTCTCATTCACACAGTGATGCAGCAATAGCACTGAGCTAACCAAGTTGGCATTCAGTGCCCAAGAACGCTTTGAAACACACACCTAGCAATCAAAGGACAGCCTACTCTACCTCCTGCTACTTTACTGTAGTCTGCTGTGAAACTGAAATACTGCAAGAGAAAGGGAATGGAGACAATTAAGGATGCGTGTATCAGAAAGAGAAACAGAAAGAGGAGATGGAGAGAGAGCATCCCACGGGATAAACTTTCCTGACAGAGCAGTGGTGGTAACTATATACAAACTACTAACTATAGACACACACTTGTCTTTGTCACTTAGGGGGTGTTTCATTGATTCATATTCATGACCTTACCACAGGGGATGGGAAAGTCCCCTTAATATGACTGTAAACAGGTTCTAAACAGTGCATGCACTGTAATACAAATAAACACACAAGCCATTTAGGCTGATGACACTATTATTTACATGTATTCTTCCTGTGTAGCACAGACAGTCCAAGAGCTTCAAACTGCATTTCAGTCTTTAGAAATGACTCTGCTGAGTTCAAAAGCACATCCACGGTTGCTTGATAATTGTAGTACTCTCACATCTCTGTTCCTGTTCCTGTTGTATTTTTATTTGATTCCTTCACCTGCTGCTTTAAAGTGCCTTAGATTTGTGTTACTGCCTATTTAGATTTGTGTTATTGCTCATATACTTTATATTTCACTTGTTTTATGTGGCATTCATTTGGACAGCAAAGTAAGAATTTCATTGTACAGGGAAACACGTTTCCTGACTGTGCATATGACAAATAAACACTTTGACCTTTGACATCTGATGAAAAATCTATTGCAAGGGTGTCCTTCCACAGATACCTGGGGATATGGATGGATATATGACAAGCTTTTATTCGATGTGCATATTGCTAATCTATTTAAGAAGTTCAAGGTTAAAATTGGTTTATATTTTAGAAATAAATCTTCTTTTACTTATAATGCTAAGAAAAAACTACCTATGATTGATTATGGTGATTTGTTATACATGCAGCTTCCTCTATGTTACAAAGCCTTGATTCAGTGTACCATGCTGTTTTTATCTTGTGCATGGAATTTTTGTTTATTGTGTTCCATGTGTTGAATTTTAATATGTTGTAAATTTGTATGGCTGCCATCTTGACCAGGTCTCCCTTGAAAAAGAGATCTTGAGTTTAACGAAACTTCCTGGTAAAATAAAATAAAACAAAACATGCACAGGTACACAAAACAGTGTAACTGTAGATTGTATTGTCCCGTTTGTCACTGCATTTTCTGTTTTAGTCTGTGTGTGTCCCATCATCTCGCCCCTTTCTCTCTCTTTCCTTCTGCCCCACCCTGAATGGACTAGGAGCCATGAAAGACGACAGGCAGAAACTTTCCATTAATAACCTCTCAGCTGTTACAGAATAAGAAAGATAGGTCTCTGTCGAGGTCAGTGTTGTGGCATCCCAGCCATACACAAACACACTTTGCTCTTTATACATAAACTTCATCATTAAATCTTTTTTCCTATTTTCTCCCTTTTCACCAAATCTGTCTTTTCTATCTGTCTGAGTCTTTTTCTTTCACACACACACTCACACACCATCCCTACCTTCATAGGTGACGGAGCAGTAGGCATCACTGATGTCGTCGTCTGGCGTTCGCAAACGCTCTGCACACAGAATAGCCACACGCAGCATGGCTCACACACGTGCACACACACACACACACACACAACAGAGCTCAATCAAATTCCCCACACAGACAATGTGTGTATGGTCATCAGTGTATCAAAAAAACATCCATAACAGAGAGAGACAATGGTCGAGTAGCACCCAGAATGAATAGGAACAGAGAGAGCCACTGGTAGAGCTGCAGCTCTCAGCTGTTTCACTTGTACCCCCCACCCCCACCCCCTTCATGCACACAGGCACACTGTCCCTTCAATCACAATTGGCTTAAAGGGGCAGCAACAGACACACACACTGTGACCTTTATTTTTGGATCACACATGCCTCCACACAATCCACAATCCAAACTCTGCCTACTTAAACCAGCACATGCTGCACACACACATTGACAAAAAAAAGAGTGTGGTGGAGAAAAATTGTCTGCTGTTACAGAATTAGCGCAGAGGCAGTGAGAAATCAAGCTGGTAGAAAATTGATTTGAAGGGAATTTTAAGGGGAAATATGAATGGCTGAATCACATTTGCAGATAAACATTAGGCACTGACTAAGGGTGTGGTAACACCCTGGTGCTAATCTGAAGATCTGTCATGGAAGTATGACCCTCGGTGTTACTAGAGTGGAACACTTTAGTACAAATCAACAGGATCAATGAACCAAATCTTGAATGAGAGATTGTATTGAGTTACAGATCCCAGTGGAACACGTGGGATGGGAAGTGACCACCCAGCCGCCTCCTTCTGTCTCTATACACTATACTGCATCACTAGAGTTACTCCTTTGCTCATGTCGTAATTACTACAAGTGCTAGAGATCACCAAACCATAACACATGACTGTTGGCTGTAATAACCTGCTGACACAAACAGCCTATTGAGTTCTTTTTCACAGGACAACAGTCTTGCTGAGTCTCTGCTCCTTCAGTCTCAGTTTACTGCACCACCTCAAACACTGACTCATACATTGGTTTTATTTTCACATTGACAACTATAAGATAAGTGAAACCAAAGTGAAGAAATCAATTAATCGGCTGAGTGCAGATGAGAAAATCGTACAGTGTCAGGAGTCGTGCCAGGCTGTGGGCTGACACTGTTCCTCTTTTTATAGCTCGACCCACTGAGCTTTAATCATGTCTTCTACACACTTAGACTCAGAGAGGGGTGGCACATTTGAAATACATGTAAAATGTAAATGAATCCCCCTTTTTTCAATGAAATAATAAACCACACATTATTAATGGGAGAAATGAATACAAATATCATGCTGCTGCATGATATATAATAAAATGAATTTGCTCAATATCAATTATAAAGCACCAGAAAAATGGGAGGATCCCTGCTGTCCAATCAAATCATTCGTTATGCTCACGATTCTGTCGTCCCTCACTCTCAAATCTGCTTCTGCTCTTACAAATCCTTGCCTGCAGGCTCTCAAAGTCGGATTTGCAAACTGAATAGTGCTCACAACTTGTTTTGTGCTCTTTCAAAAAAAAATTTAGCACCTGCAGACTTTCAAACAAACCTCAGCAGAGAAACGTGAGCACAGAATCAGAAACAAGAGCACACATGGCTGGGACTAGGCTCTCAAATCTGCATTTCCATGTACAGCTCACCTGTCTTCATGTAGAAATGTTTCCAAGAAAAGAGTGCAGTTGAAACTCTGTGGCACCGCCTGCATTGCAATAGCATCTTCCATCATACCAATTAGAGGGTATTGATCCTATAAATGTTCCTGTCCGGAGAGGCTGGTGGAGTCGAATTTCCTTTCAAAACACTCCTTGGATGACTGAAGATACCTGAAGGAAAGCAAGCTAAACCTCTACAATAGGATGCAGGGTGTTTTTCAGTTCAAAGTGTTTTAAAAATTGACAGCAGTTCATGTGCTGCTTGATTTGATGTGTGAATACTAGTTTTGGTAAAACATGAATTTTAAAATGAGGATTGACCTTATTTTGAAAAGGTACAAATCAAGTTCAAAGCTGAAAAGTGGAGCAATTTTTCTTTACATACATGTCCAGAGCGATTTCCAAAGTTCACCTACAACAAATTGCAAGACTATTACTGCCAACAAATTTCTGTGTTTCAATACTGCTACTAGATGGTGAGTCAAACCACAAACTGAAAATAGGTTTAATATGACTAAGGCTAAGACAAAACAGACTGCTAGTGGGTGATGGACAGTCATGCTCGGACTTTAAACCTACATTTGAATTGAACTACTGAAGTAAACTGAACAACTGAAATAAAATTAGAGTTGCAGAGGAAGGAAACAAATGCAATTTATGGTTTGGACCACTGATGGTTTGGATCTTTGGGTTGGATGAGGACTTTTCATCTTTTCTTGATCTGCTTGGATGTGGCCTATTCTTTCCCCAGATGTCAACACCTGAAAGCTAAAGCTCTCCCTTCCTTCCACATTTCAGGTTCCCCCATTCTCCCTTGCAAACCCACATAAACACTCACACATACATAACTGAACAGGTCCCCTTTCACACACCCACAACTGAAGTACAATCCCTTTCTCACCTGCTTACTACTGTACATGGGGAAAATGAACACTTGACAGAAATGAACAGTTTGAATACAATGTTCTTCCACTCAGTACACTTTATGCTGTGGTGAGTGGTGTTTAAAGTATCTTAGTGAGGCAAATATTCATCCCAGTGTTCAACAAACCATAATCAGACATCATGGGACACTCAGGTTTTATTTAACACTTTTAAAAATGACAGGATTTTACATACACATATTAGATGGTGTACATGCAATTAGGGAATAAATTTCACTGTCCATCTGCATATCCAGAAACTGATACAACAAAAAGACCTTAAGTAATTTTGTGTGAAAGGTGCCATTTTCAAATCCATTTTCCAAGGAAAGCAAAGCAAAATCATCCCATAACACAATGGTTAGTTACTTCTGACAGTTACTGTTCACATTAATCTTTTTTTTTCTGAAAACCAGAAACAAAAGGAGCAGGTTACATTACTCATGAATTTCATCTAGGACTATGAAAACAACTTAACATTGATTGTTTCAAAATTCAAGCTTTGCACTAGAATGGCTAGTATAGGGATAGCAGTTGTTAAAACCTGCCTGACCTATGTACAGAATATTCTGTTCCAGATTCTCTTTATTCATACTTTAAAAACAAATCAAATGGCTCCCAGTGTCCTTTTAAAGGTGTTGCACATTAGAAAATAAGAGTAATTAAACTATAATAAAGCTGCACCTTTCTGTAACTACTCTAGTACTATTATCAGCTTTAATTTCACTAGTGAGCACAACAAGACCACATGTTCCATCAGTTCCATCTCCACAATGTGTATATACTTGATGAAAGTGATTTCATTTCTACATTTGTAACTAATTAAAAATAATGACGAGTCTGACTACAGATCCACAAACTAACTGGATGGTGCTTCATCAGCAACCCAGCACTAAACACCTCCAAAACCAAAGAGCTCATAATCAACTTCAGGAAGAAGAGGGGGGTAGTTGTCCCTCTATACATCGGGGGAGGCATGGTGGAGATGGCCACTGATGTCAAATTCATGGGTACATACATCTCCCAGGGTCTCACATGGTCTGTTAACACCACCTAGTGAAGAAGGTACAGCAGCATCTCTATTTTTTAAGGGCTCTTTGCAGAGCAAACCTGCCCCAGCAGCTGCTGCTGTCCTACCACTGCTCTGTCCCATGGCATCCTGGTGTGATTTGCTAATTGCTCTGTAGCTGACAGGAAAGATGCATTGAGTTTCATTCCACAGCTGTACAATGACAATAAAGATATTCTGATTAATGGCATCTCTGAAAGTTTAAGGAACAGCTCCCTTGTTCTTTTTACTGTTAAAAATCTCCAAATCTGAGCTGTAGATCACAAGACCTGTTCCCATCTAAATGTAGAACAGATGTCAACTTAATATCCTTGAAATCTGTTATAGAAAAAGCAAATTAATGCATTTCCATTCACTGTTATATGATTGACAGGAGTTGAGCCATATTTGGATTTTGTTTATGGATAATATCCAACACTTAAAGTTGTTTTTTCTTCTACAAACTAGAAATGGTCACAAAAACAGGAGTTGAAGGCCAACATTCAGCTTCTGTTTGTGTTGGGTGACTGAAATAAACAGTGTGGGATTACTGTACAAATGTATTGATGAATAAAAGAGTCCTAGTGTTCCAAGACACAGCTGTACATTTGCATCTGTAGGCAAAGCTAAGGACCAAAACTGTAGAGCTGGAGGGAGTCTGAAACCTATGTAGCTAAAATATTCCAGTATTATCATACAGTGTGTTGTAAAGCTACAGGCATTTTACTCCAGCTCACCTTTCCCACATCTTCAATAATAATAAAAAACAGTTATTAAAATTGGAATCAATCAGAAATGGAGCCTTGAGAACTACGAGTCGATGTTCTTGATGGTTTCTGTTTAAGCTTCTGATAATGTTTCTGGAAAAAAAAGAAGGGGGAGAACACAATGTTACACCAATTCTTTATGTGATAGTGTAAATGCCAACTCACCAGGACTCAATTATCTTTTCTTTTCAGAATTAGTGTGAATGCTGACTGAGCATTATTTCTCTGACTTATTTTTCTGTATGGTATTTTGGTCAGCTACTTCTGCATACTTTCAGCTACAGGCATCATTCAAATATAATTTTTTCCCCACATATTAAGCTCTTCCCAGCCAATTTTAATAACGGAAAGTGAATGAGCAGAATCTTCACATACTCTTCAAACCTACCCCACTTCGAAGCTCTATTACTTCGTCACACTTTTAAGTACAGAGATCATCTAAATCTTAAATGAATCGCAAGATATGCACATTTCAATTTAGCTTTTTAATACGTTAGACGGGTCTAAAAATAATCACAGTTGAGGTTTTTCAGTGTGTTGTGTCACATGTTAACCTGTTAACCTGTTAAGCTGTTTCTTAAAATTTGAGCATTTCAGCTCTTGTTACTTGTACAGCTTTCGGTTCTCTAACAACTTGCACATCAATATGTAGATATTTGTGTCCTTTCAATGATGTGGGCCCAACTCAAAAGTAAGAGAGGATGCCCACCTAATGACTGCGTAGACTTGCCTTTACTCTTACATCCAGACAAAACGTGTGTTGGTGATAATAAAGTTAAACTCAGTGGGGTTGTTAGTGGTGTATTTAACTCATGTTAGACAATCTTGGTAAAATAGTGTCAGTGGTTGGAGAACTGAGCAGACCCAGCTCTCAGAGGTGACTGCCATTACAAACCAGTTGGACCAGCCACTGCTTAACCTGAGCAAATACAATGCAGATGCTGTGTGTCAAGCCACATATCTGCTCTTTGCATGGGTGAGGACAGGGTTCAGGGATGCTTTGTGTTAAGGGCAGATTAGGTTTGAAAAATGGTTTTGCTTATTGTGGGGTGCTGAAGATTTAAGACAGCATGGCCTGACATCATTACGGCCTGGGTAAACATCATTAAATTTGTATTGTGAGCCTCCATATGAATGCTCTCCCATTCTTTGGCACATTTAATTGCGTATTCTCGACCAACTGTTTAAAAGGTCTGCCTCAAAGCAACAAGTTTCAGGCAACAGATTAATTCAAAGCTGACTTTAATTAGCTGATGACACCTTAAATAAATCTAACTCTGATTCTGTCAGCATGTGTATAGTATGTCATTTACCTTCCAACTTTTCCATCAATTAATTTCAGCTGTTAAGATTCATGTACATTTTCTACTTTCATGTATGCATTACCTGCAGGTTGTCATAGTGCTCCTGGCTGCTGCAGTGGAAGCCCTTGGCAGTGGTCTCGTTCAGGTAGAAAACAGAGCAGAGATCACAAAAATATCCTGATTTCGGAACCACAAATTCTTGACCTGAAGAGAAACAGAAACAAATGTTACAAACCCTTCTGACCTAAAGTTATTATTACTTAAGACAGGTGTATTTGTATCTCTCTCACCAAGGGGGTTGTTGGGGTTAAATGGTGGCAGTTTGAAGTCAGCGCCAACACAAGGAGACTGAGAACGAGATCGCTTAGCTTCAGGCCCAGTAAGCTCTTGCTTCCGTTTACCAACAACTAGAGAAGAGGAGGAGAGAACAATGAGTAAATCATTTACACCCTGATGCTCTTGCTAGAATGGTTGATTCACTGATTCTACAGAAAATTAATATGCAGCAATTTAAGATTCACAAATGTAATGAATTTTTGTTGCCCCCTCACAAAAGAAGAGGAATATAATGTATCAATCTCAGTTTTCTGTACCTTTCAGGTTTGCCCTCCATCCGTCCTCAGGCTGTGGCTCCAGCCTAGAAGAGTTTTCATTGGTGTCAACTCGGCTTGCTGTTTCCACCTCTCCCTCCATATTCAGCATCTCCTGCTGGATGTCAGGGCACAACGTCGATGGCTCTTTGTCCAGTGACAAGGACGCACCAACTGAAGTTGGAGGTGGCACATCAGTGCCCACTGATTTTGTTTCTTCTTCTATGTCAACTTTTTTCCCTCTAGTTGATTTTCTCACTGAAGTAAAAGACAATGAATTGATCATACATTAATAAGTTAAAAAGTTTCAAGCTTTCGAGCTGGAAAATGGCAAGAAAAAGAGCTGTATAAAAGATGTGTTTGCGTGTTACCAGGGGTCTGTCTGGTTCTCTTCTTTCCTCTGCCTCTTGAACGAGTGGTTACCACTTCGTGTGCCACCTCCTCTTCAACCTCACCCACCTCGTCTACCGTGACAAAATTCATATTCTCCTCTAAAATCAGTCAAACAAATAAAGAAGTGTCAGGCTCCTGTCAACACTGAAACTGATCATTTCCCGAAGAAATGTTTTGTAAATATCAAAAGGAAAGTCATTTTAACAGGAGCTGTGAAGTGGGAGGAGTGACTGATTCCCCTGGTATTTTCCTTGACTGTTAACAATTCAAAATGTTCTTTAGATAATAATCTTAATCTCACTCAAAACATAAAGTCCTTATTTTCTCTCTGAACTTCTTTTGTGTATTTACATTGTTATAAAATGTTAGGTTTTCAGTAGTTTTACTAAGCTTTTATCTTTTTCAGCCATCTAATCTGATCTCATATTTCCTTAACTTACAGTTTTGAAACCTGAAGCAAAACAAATTCTTGGTACTACATTTTAAAAATAAATGCATAACCTGATCATACGTTTTGGTTCTTTTCTGAACCAGACTCTGCAGTTCTAATTCAACTATTTGAAACAGTTAACAACCAGTTTTTCAGATAAATTGTCTAAGACATTTGAAAATTAGAGTTATTTTGAGATTATAATGCAAAAGTACCCATATCAGTATAGCGTCATTTATAAAGTTGAGTAACACACCTGTATCATCGTGTTTGCGCTTGGCAGATTGTGAGGTTGTCTCAGCTTGATCTTCATTTGCTTTCTCTTCCTCATCGTCACCTGCTTCATCTAATGTCACCAAAGTCTAAAGAGAGACCAGAGATC